TTTTGAGCTCCATTGCTAGTGTTCATTCAAATCCCATTCAAACAATTTGGTATGTGATACTTGTATGGGTAATATTCAAGTTTATGGTTTATCGGTTGATTGAACTGAAATCATCGTGATAGGTAGGTATAGAGTACTCAGATTTCTGCATAGTAAAGAAAAGTTCAATTTTCTTAATTAAAACAAAACAAAAATTCTCACCTCAGTAGAGTCGGGTTTACAGTTCATCATTTTGCAATCACTCGACTTCTTATGAAGACTGCGATAAACGGGCCCCACTTGAATTTTCTTCTGCAGGCGAATTCTTTTAGGTGCAGTTCCGTGATCCGTCAAGTTGTGTACAGTAGGTTGATTTAAATTCTGGCGTGTTATCAAAACAACTCCCGAGCCGGAACCATTTTGCTTGCTATTTTCCTCAATCACCTAACGGTTCATTAAACATCGTCCATCAAACTAGAGTCGTTTAACATTTATTCGAGTCAAATATATGTTTCATATTTTTGTTTAGGGAGGAAAAGCAATATTCCAAAATTAAAGAAAAACAAAAATTGAAAAAAATTTGCTCCAATCAGTACCAAACAGGACTTTATTTGTTTTTCTTAACTCCTCTAGACATAAATTTGCAATTGTCCTGTCTATAGACGCATAAAAACCAAAAATCTGCATTTGTCCAGTCAAAGTAGAGTCAATTAAGATTACTCAAGCCAAATAAATGTTTTATATTTTCTTTAGAGAGGAAAGGCGGTTCCAAATAGGGCTGCAAACGAGATTGATTTTTTTTCTTTTACCTGCTCGAGCTCGTCGAGCTAGATTATGACGCTCAAGATCGACTCGACAAAATAAGATAATCGCTCGAGATTGATTGAAATCAAAATGCACGGCAGATTGCTCGAGCTTGGCTCGAGTTCGACTCGAATTTTAAATAAAATTACCATTAAGTACGTATATAAAAGGGTTAATTGCGTATAAAACCCCAACCTTTAGTGTAATTGCAAATAAAACTCAACTTTTTCAACTTTGCAACAAAATACCAAACATTTATCATGTATTGTAATTTTGTCTCAACATCACTTTCAGGCCAAGCCGCAGCTGACATATCCGATCGAAAATTTGGTGTGGCACCGATTAAGATAGCGTGGCACTCAAATACACGCCACTTATTTTTTCTTCCTTTTAATCCCATTTTCTTCTCATTTTGCCCAAATTTTGCAGCCCACTTTTATTAGGAAAAAAACTTTGGCTCTCGATTTCCGATTGATCAATTTCTCGACGATTCACCTTCGAAAATTCCGACGACTTCATGGCTTGATTCTTCACCCCAAAACTCGAGTTCACCACATGCTTCAGCCGGAAAGTGATGTTGAGACAAAATTGCAATACATAATAAAGGTTTGGTATTTTCATATTTTGTTGCAAAGTTGAAAAAATTGAGTTTAATTTGCAATTACACTAAAGGTTGGGATTTTATACGCAATTAACCCTATATAAAATATTGTAATATTCATATATAAGGGTATTTTTTTTAGTAATTCACTAAATATCTCGAGCCGCTCGACCTTCCAAAACCTATGCTCGAGATCGACTCGATAACATGCTCGAGCCGCTCAAGTCTAGTCAAACTCGAGCTTGAGCCGAGCTTTGACTCGAGCGCTCGCGAGTCGTTCCGTTCCTTTGCACCCCTAGTTCCAAAACACAACAAAGAAGAGCAAAAACGCAAACACAAAACAGGACTATTTGTTTTTCTCAACTCCTCCAGACGTAAATTTGCATTTGTCCTGTCCAATAGACGCATATTCGTTTTGAAATTGCAAAATGACCCTCTTGATTTGGTAAATACATTACTTGAAAACAAGATAGCTCCATTTACCTGATCCGAGCACACCTCATCCTCTGATTCACAGCTTGGGTTACTTTCATTAACCAACTGAAGCACATTGATGTACTTAGGACTCTCAAAAAGAGACTTAGAGAAGCTCTGCTCGTAACCCTGATCCTCGGGATCAATTAGAACCGAGTTCAAGAAATCGGTAATATCGGCCGTGACATTATTAGATCCATACTGAAAAGGGATATTTTGCTGGCCATGGTTGATGATGTCACCAGTAAAAGAGCTGTACTCATACGGATTTCCAAGGTCCGATTGACTTTGTGAGTGCGAAGGGGAGAATATTTTGCTATCCAATGTTTGCTCCGCGGGGGAATAAAAGTCTGCCAACATTTTTTCCAGTTCTGCACTAGACTGAACCAAAAAAAAAGGGAAATTAATAATATTTATATATATGAATACTTATGACTAGAAAATCGGCTTGTATGGCATGAAAACTGAATCATTTCCTGTTTTTTTGCCTTTTCATGGAAAATATAAACAAAACAATCGAACAAACAGCTTCTATCACCATCAAGTAACCTTCTATATGAAAACTTTCAGTAAAGACACATTGGGAGAGAGAGAGATAGAGAGAGAAAGAGAGAGCACTAGAAATCTAAGTAAAAACATTTCGAAAGTTCATTAACTACATAAAATTCAAGAACTCTGAGAAAACCATTTTCAGGACTTACAATCGTAATTTTCAAAAGGAAACAGTTCCACAGTTGAGGCAAAATGAGGTAAAATTGTATTTTTAGTCCCGCTAATTTAACGCCATAGCAATATTAATCCCAAGGGTCCAACATTTCGCTTTTTGGTACTGCGGTTTAATTTTTTGTTGCAATTTCATGCAATTTCAGAACTGAAATTGCAACAAATTCTCGAATTCCCAGATATTCGATCAGCAATTTAAATTCTGTAATTTAAAACTTTTGTAGCAATTTCAGTCCTATCAAGACAAAAGGTGAAAAGTTGGAATTTTGGGACTAAAATTGCCATGACGTTAAACCAAAAGGACTAAAAATGCATTTTTGCCCCACGGTTGACCTCAGGCTTCTAATAAGTTCTTTCACTTACTTGAATAAACGGTGTGCCCATCACATTGTCCTCAATCACATCACTATTACCATGCAAGTCAATAGGTAAAGGCGCCACATCAATAGCTTTTTCTGAATCAAAACTTGGGCCGCTTTCAAAACTGGAAAATTGCATTCCAGTTGAACCACCAAAATTAGGAGTAACTGATTCTGATTGTTCGTCGTCAGCAGAGGATTTAAATTCACTGGGAGATGCTGGAATCACATCAACTTCACAGCCCTCATCTTTTTTCAGATCAGCCTTTTTGAACAGGCGGCAGAGCACATAGGAACTCTATGTAAGAGAGAATCATCAAATCATCAATTTAATTTTAAGAAGCCAAGCAATTCACACCAATGAAAATATTAACAAGACGTAGTAGCAATCTACACTAACAAAATTTTCCAAAATTTACATGTCCATTCACAACCTGAAATACTAAAAATTTCATCTTCGAACACCTTTTTCAAGCACTTGTCCAATAGAAACACATCTCGAAGTCAAACTAACTCATGTGTCACAATCCAGTAAACTCTACCGAAACTCCTTATTCTTTCACATTTGAGCTGGAGCACATTGCTTATAGTTCAAAGTGCAACACATCATTCGAACAGTTTTAACATTTCTTTTACACCCCGATAACAGCAGGTTAAACAAAAAAGGCCAAATTTCTTTTACACCCCGACTTGAAGATTACATTCACACGTCAGACCAACAGTCTAACTTTTTCACCCCGGAAAATGCGAAGGTTATTCGAATAATACGCATAACTTCACATATAATATCAGTCACATAACTATCGCATATTCACATTAGAAAGTGCAAAGGGTTATGCGAATGCTTTCGCATTTGAACTTTCGCACAATTGTCGGATAATTACCACATAATGTTTTTGCACTTTCTGGGATGAGAAAAAGTTTTATCCAGCGGTGTGAAAAATTTATTCTAAATACCTACAATTCTAAGTACGAGATGCAAATGAAATGCTAACCTGACCGGGATGCGTGCCATCAAGCGACTTATCAGTTGCACGATACTCATGTATCACCCAATGTGTCCTCTTGCCATTGGGTGCACGGCCAGTGTAGAAAACCAAAGTCTTCTTCAATCCGATTTCACCCTTTCGGGATTTTATGGTTCTATCTCGACCCGTTGCTTTCCAGTAGCCCTTTAATGTTGCTCGGTTTAATCTTTGTCCATTTTGATATTTTCTATCCTTTGGGCAGAAGAAGAACCAATCATTGTCCTTAGACTGTATCATAGACAAATCTGCAAACAAAACATTGAAACTTCAAGCTTTCTGCATAATATAAGTATTCACAGCAAACCTCATAAATCATACTAATGAAAGAATTTGTAAATACACTTTGACTAATTACGCCTAATTCTCGTGCGAAAATTTGGAAAAAATCGATCTCATAAGCTACTAATTGGGGGAATTATGCCACTGGCCAGATTCATGCAAAGAGTTAACCAGCTTTATTAGATACTCCAAGCATTCTCACATGATACACCTCTCACAAGGACACCAGAAAAACACACAAGCATCCTTTTAACACTAAATGCAACGTGCAACAAACACTATGAACTTGAAACCTTTTTAATTCAAACTGAATTACCATACTTAAAATAACAATATAAACAAAAGCTAGACATAATGTATATCCGACTAACATTTAGATCGTCTCACACAAAAATTAGTGAATCCCCCTAAATATTTCAGATCCACCTAGCTGTTAACAGCGCATAATTCATTGTAATAACCAGCAAAACTCAGTGAAAGTAACTCAAAAAACAAAAAAGAACCAATTTTTATGTTTTTTTTT